ACAGAGTTAGACAGTGAGCAGTGTGGAGAGACTGACAGAGAGAAGCAGAGACAGGCCACGTTATCTGTGTTTCCTGTTGTTGCAGTAAAACTCAGCTGATCATCCCACGGAGTACCTTCATTCTTGACCAGCGTATTTCTGTCTCTGTTGTTAAATAAATATTGTCGTAACAAACTTCTACTTGAGTAATGAATGTGAGTACTTCTGACACCCCTGCTCAGCTTGAGAATGCCTTGCTTTTCTCACACAGACAACTTTCTGGTCTTCAAGTAGGTGTGTCGTCTTTAGCAAAAAATAGTGATATTTGTATGTTTTAGCTCAAGCTAAAAACTTAACTAGTCATGCAGAGCTAATTAATGTTTGAAAAATCAATCTAAAAGGCAACACCTGCAACAAGAAACACCTGTCAGTCACATGTTCTAATAGTATTGTTCACTTGGAAAATGAGTGGGTTCAAACAAAGTATGTTATGTCTAAATGTAAACCAAGAAAAAAGGCAGATATTCTGAATTGAGAGTGAATCACACACGCACACACCTTTCCAAAAGTATTAGAACAGGAACACAAACTCCTTTGTTTTGTTGTTCACTCTCAATTGTCTCAACTTGATGACACAAAAATACACAATACCTCCAATAGCATCATGTCACAGAATGGTTTTGTGTTTGTGTGCAGGTATGCTGACGATCACTGACTTCATCAACATTCTCCATCGTTACTACAAGTCTCCCCTGGTGAGCTGAGTTTGCTGGACTTTTTTAAATTCTCTGTTATGATTTTAACAATAAATAATCCAGATTCATAGAGGAGACAATCATAGACTCATAACAATCTTCMTCCTCTGAGTTTTGCAAGTGAAATATGTTTTATCTACAGGTTCAGATCTATGAATTAGAAGAACACAAGATTGAAACATGGAGAGGTTTGAAAGTCGCAGACACCTGCTAACATACAACTTGTCCTAAATGTTTGTTTAATTCATTGAACATTTAATTTTCTTTAAAGGAGACAAAATGTAATGAAAAAATAATTCTGACTCAACAGTGACAGCAGTCTAAAGCTTCAGAAAACAAGCTTTTAACTTCCTCAGGGTCCCATGGGGTCCTCATCAGTGAGCTTTTCAATTTGCAGTGAAAACAGATCAGAGTAAAATGTATTTCAAATTTCAATTCTTCAAACTTTACCCTCATTTATTGATGCATTCATTGAACTTCAGAAGAGCAAAATCAAACTTCATTTGAATCTGTGTATGGTTCATTCTTTTGTAGAGGTCAACCGATGCATCGGCCATCCAATATTTTGGGCCGATTTTTGTGTTTCTTTCTTGATTCGATATCGGCCGTTTTGTGCACGTGTTCTCCAATCCATGAGCACATTTAACATCCATACCATGAGAACACACATGAAATGCTGCTCCCTCCCTGGCAGAGAGCAAGAGAATGAATACACCAGTAGTCATCAACTAATTAAGAAATGACGTAACACTAAAAGTGACAGGTACCACGCCCCTTTAGGGCGGGACATCCGTATATGGTCAACTTCCGGTCATTCCTTCCTGTAGGATGTCCATATATGGTCAACATCCGTTTCGTGACTTCCTCTTTTGATTTACCGTAACTATCCCCCTCCCTCATCCTCCCTTGACTTCCAGTAACCCCTACCCTCCCTTTTTCCCCCTCGATTTATCGTAACCCTAGCCCCCTCTTACCCCCCTCYAATAACTGTAAACCTTGACCACAGATGTTGACCATATATGGACATCCTACAGGAAGGAATGACTGGAAGTTGARCATATACGGATGTCCCGCCCTAAAGGGGCGTGGTACCTGTCACTTTTAGTGTTACGTCATTTCTTAGTTAGTTGATGACTACTGGTGTATTCATTCTCTAGAGCAGCTGGTAATGTTGTAAGATTGAGTGCCAGCAACAAGGGTGGTGAGTTTTAAACTTTTTATCTATTTTTAATTGCCTAATTTAGCTGTAGCCGATCTGCCTGTTGAAAGTCTGTCTCTGTGTCACTGTGAGCAGGAGAGAACAGCAGTGTCTGTTTCACTCTGAGAGTGGGCTGGAGAAATCATCAGACTGGTGTGTTTTTAATTTCTTTCTCTCTGCCACCAAAATTACCCACAGTTTACACCACAAGTGGTTTCTATGGAGAGCCATTTCATTCAAAATGAAATGAACTAATAAAATATTAATAAATATTCCATTAGATAAATAAATGTCCCCAAGAAATAAAACAAAATAAATATATAATATATATTTTTTAGCATTTCTTTATTATTTCCTCATTTATTTATTTATTTATTTATTTATTATTACATATTGTATTTTTATTTTGTGACACTTATATTTTGTAAAGCTTTTTTACATTTTTCAGGGACTTTTATTTTGAACCCCCTTTGTATTTCACGCAGTTTTACTATTTCAGGAGTTTTCTCTGTGGGTTGGTGTTCAGGAAATGATCTGTTTCACCATGTTGACCAAGCTGAATTGTTAAACATCTTTCCAAATATATGGCTTTCAAATTTCGCGTGGCTAGCACCTTCCTGTCTCTGGTTATGGCTAAAATTGTCTGTTTTCAAACAGAGCTCCCTGCAGTGACTGTATGCCTGTCGATGTGCAGTCGCTGCAGAGAGCTCTACTTAGTCAACAAAGCTCAGACCTACCTGAAAAACACAACTATTTGTCAGTACTATCATACAGTACTACAAGAACTGACAGAAAAAATTATTGATTTTGTCCATAAGAAAGAAACAAGTTACAAAACCCTTTCAGCTCACAGAACAACAACCTTACAACACACGAATGGAGGGAAATTTGCTTTTCAATAAAACAGTTATTTGGCCAAAAGTCACCATAAGTACATCTGCAAAGGCTTTATTATTACACAGTGACAGTCATTAACTCGTTTATGGACATATGTCTGTTTTATTTATAAAAATGAATATTTCATGGTGAATGTACCACCTCTGGTGATTTGGGTCATTTCCTGAATACCAACCCACAGAGAAACCACCGCCCCCGCATTTGCATATTAGAACATGAAATAAAACAACATGAAATAGTAAAACAGCCTGAAATAAATCGGAGTTCAAAATAAAAGTCCCTGAAAGATGTAAAAAAAAGCTTTACAAAATAAGTGTTACAAAATA